ACAGAGCCGGGGGGGGGGTGGTGGGAAGGGGAAGAGGATGAAAAAAGTCATTTAAGATGCATTATGCACACACACCAGCTCCGCACAAGGGATGCAAACATTATATTCTACAAATGTGTACTTATAAAAAATTATGTCACACTGTGTTTAAATTATATATTCTCATTAAGATCGAAAGTTGTACCTGTCCCTATCATTTGCCTTCCTTATTTCTATTTCCTTTTTGTTGTAGTACTTTCTGCTGTGTCTCTTCTATTTACAGTTGAGCCTCTGGGTGGCAGTATGGGATTTGTTTGGTCTGCAGCTCCGTCATCAATGCATACAGAACTGTGATGTTTACTTTTAAAGAAATGAACGGAGGAGGAAATCACTTAAATGCTTTTGTGAACTGTTGTGCCCGTTCTTGGTTCTGACTGACCCAGGCCTCACTGAAGTCCTACTCCATTTATAGAGAATGGGTTCAAGGACTCTGACACAGGGCCTCCTCAGAATCATGAAACACTGTGCCCATATTTATCAACCAATCCAATGAAATCTGAAACAAATTGTTAAATAAATTGCTCATGAATAAATCCAATTTCCAATGGTCTAATGCTCATGTTCTTGGTTCTGACTGACCCAGGCCTCACTGAAGTCCTACTCCATTTATAGAGAATGGGTTCAAGGACTCTGACACAGGGCCTCCTCAGAATCATGAAACACTGTGCCCATATTTATCAACCAATCCAATGAAATCTGAAACAAATTGTTAAATAAATTGCTCATGAATAAATCCAATTTCCAATGGTCTAATGCTCATATAAAGGCTTGGGTGGTGGGAAACCTGATAGGGTGCAAAAGTGTTCCTGGGAATATATAAATCGAGGATGACAGAGCAAATCGTCAAAGGACCAGGACACCCTGACAAAGAACCAGTGATAAGGAAATGGTCAAGGTGAAGATGCATGTGCCTCTGAAGTGGCTCGGTATAACTGTTATGCTGAGGACCCTGGCAACCTTTAGAGGCATTTCTGGTGGCCACAGCTGAGAGGGGTGATGCTTCTGTCTTATGGCATGGAGAAGACCAAGGATGCTGCGAAACATCCAACAGCATACAAGACAAGAACACCCATTTCCAGTGTACCCCTCACCCCTGTATTCATGAGAATATGTTCAGGCCCCAAATGCCAACAATGCTAAGGTGAGGTACTTTGGCTACTGGGAAAGAGTGAGCAACCCAGTCTCTCCTCATTCAGATACTTATAGCACAGCGTAGTCCTGGGGTGGGGTGACAGGGCTGAGGGACAATGTGGGAAGAGATTACTTCCATTATTGTAAGAACATCTGGTAGGGGAGCTCACTGACAGTTACGCCAGTTGCTCTGTTTGAAATAAAGAAAAACACAGAAATGTAAAGAAATTAATCCAGTATGATAGAATTCAGGGTAAGACTAAGATGCAGACAAATAGTGGGAATTGTGCTGACATTTCAGATGGCCAAACAGGAGTTTTCTTCCATTCTAGTCCTCAGAGAAGACCGAAAGCATTTGTAGCCAAAGTCTGGTAGTGAGATCATCCCTGACTGTTGACCAGGAAGACAGGGATAATGAGAATATAATAAAAGAGAAATTTAACCTGCAAGTGACCACAGTTACAAATACTCCATCCAGATTTACTGAGAAAGGCGACAGGCATCCCCTAGGCATTTATAGACCATCACTGAAGGCGCAACTCCTGTTTCAAGCTGATTTCCCCTTCTCAGTTTCCCTCTCTCATTAATTTGGTCTGGATTTCTTGTTTTACTGATGCATATTCCAAAATATTTCTTAAAAGTCTTGTCCACTGAGTATGTACATAAAAAGTGAGAAGGATTTGTGATAGCAGCAATTATAGCACATAACTGACACTATTTCATTAATGTATCCTGGCAAGTCTTAATTTTCTCACAGTGTAGGAAATTATTAGTACTCCTACTTTTCAGTAAGAAAAGAACATGGAAAAGACTCCTGAATCACAGACATTACAGAGTTTGTTTTAATACAAGTAGTATGCAGAGAGTGACTCTTCATTCCAAATCTAGCTTTCACTCAAGTATGAAAACCCTGGAGTGGATAGGGAAGGTAAGAAAGGATTGAGACAAACCTCATATATTCTGTATTTGATGACATATATTCAGATATACGCACATACTCAGATATGTGCATTTTCAGCTATTCTAAAGGAGAAGCGCTAGGAACAGGCAAAACCAGATAATTTTACCAGGCAAATATTACCCATGCTATTTGCTAAATTTGAGTAATGTGCCATCCACAGGCCAATCCTGCCTCCCTCCCATTCATGCTTCCTAGCTTGCAACCTGAGCTCCCCAGCTCTCCAGCCTGTGCTTCTAAGTGTCTTGTTGTCCATCAGTTCCATTGAGAAAAGAGACCTTTTGAGTTATAAATCAGCTCTGAATGCTTTTCCTGAATGACCAGAAATATGTGTTATTAGCTGATGTAGTTCAGGGCGCAGGGATTGTCCTCCACTGTGATCCAGTCTCTTCCCTTGAAATCTCCCTCTTCTGGAGGCAGCAGAGTTGGATTTAAACAAACAGTGGAATCACCTGACTTTTCTCCCAGCACTCAGTGTGCTATAAACCAATCACAGAGCAGTAGGGCTTTACTACCATCTAGAATCCATGGCTTCTGAGAACATGAGAGTGAAGCCAAAATACTGTAGAGCTTATTTCACTTTCCTGTAACTCAGTCAATTAAGAGAAAAGAAGTTGCATTGCCCTGAAATAATTGAAGCCAGGAAATTACAGGAAAATAATTCACTAACAAAGTGGGAACATTTTCCAATGATCACTATGTGTAAGACATATCCTGACTGCTACTTCACGGATAACATCCTAAACGAAGATTCACACAATAGAACCACTGCCTGCAGCTTTTCTCAGCAGAAATTCTATGTTCCTGGCATTGCTAAGTTCCTGGGGTCTCCCTTAACCTTTGGCTTAACCCTCATACCCTTACACATTACCCTCTCAGGT